CTTGATATGCCATATAGCGAAGCTGTTCTTCCCCGTGAACTTTTCGATCTTCATGTTCACCGACGTCATTCTTCTGAATCAAAAACCCTAGCCTGATTTCCAGCCGCGGCTCTAATACCACTCGTTATAAACGCGCTGCTACAGATCGGGAAATCGTCGGAATCGATAAAGCAAGAATACGAAAGCGAGAATCGAAAAACACAGACACACGATTTACGTGGTTCACTAACACGATGTGTGTTAGCTACGTCCACGGGTGAGAGAGATCCAGTTTCACTATATTGAGGAGATTACAGATTACAGAGGAGTATGAGAAGTATTTATAGTACTTCTCCATGTGGGTCTAAACCACCTCCGATTACCAGTCGTAGCGGATGATAGTCCGATTCAAGTCACATCAACAACCGCCGTGGTGAAGATACGATAGGGCCAAGTGTTGATGATTGTGCACATTCTTTGCACCAAATATTCCTTGGACTTGAACTCTATGCATGGTTAGTTGTGGTTGATAAGTGATCTTGTTGAGACTTGCATTGATTCATGAACATGGTGAGAACTTTTTGTTTGCCCGTTTTTGTTAGGTTGAGGTATTACCTTGTGTGAAATGGTTTGCTTGGGGACAAGCAAACGTCCAAGTGTGGAGGAGTGATTCGGGGATAAATGTACACTTTTTATCCTCATTTCTCTTTGACGTTTGTGGAATTTGAACTCCAAAAAGGGTGGTTTTACGCTAGGTTTGTTGTGTTTCTATGTTTTGTCTAACAAGTGAAACCAACCCCGAAGTCGAAAGTTGAAAGAAAATGAGCAAAGACCGAGCAAAGAGGAGGATCCAGTTGCAGTTCACGGTCAAACATTAGAGTCATGGATCGTGAACCCCATAAGTGAAGCAGCGCATTTTGATCAGAGTTCACGGTTCGGCACTAATGTTCACGACCGTGAACTGGCTTCGACCTTTGTATAAATTGAGAGCTGAAAGGAAGAAGAAGGGGGAGCCTAAAGTGAGAGAAACCTTCTTCTTCTTGAAACCCTAGAGAGAGAAAGCACGAACCAAGAGGGAGAAGAAGCTAGGGTTTTGCTCCAAGTGAAGATTTGGGAAGTTCTTTTTCAAGAGAGGATCTCTACAAGCACAAGGAGGGTTGGAGGCATCGCAATGATGGTTTATTTCTTCTTCCTTTGTGTTCTTCCTTTGTCTAGCATGAAGTAGTTCTCTTTTCACTTGGGTGTTGTAGAACCCTAACTTCTACCATGTAATTGATTGTGTGGATTGAATGATTGTGTAATGGTGGTGTTTAATTTATGAATTGAGGTATTTTTCATGGTGATTGTGCATTGTGTGTGCTTGGCAATCTATTCTGCTATTTAAGGCTCAGATTGAGTTGGGTGTTCTTAGGCATTCCATGCCTCCTAAACTAGCTTAGAGAGAAGCCTCATTATCTTAAGAGGCTCAAATTGAGCTGGGTTTTCTTAGGCATTCCATGTCTCCTAAGTCCTAACTAGCTTAGAGAGAAGCCCCCTTATCTTAAGAGGCTCAATTGAGCTGGGTTTTCTTAGGCATTCCATGCCTCCTAACTAGATTAATGAAGGGCAACCCTCTAAACTTGAATTAGATACCTAGGTTAATTGTGATTATGTCGTCCAAACCTTGGTTAGAGGGAGAAGAGGTAAGTCAACCCTCAATTGCTTGGGCCGAGAGGGCTACAATTGTAGCCTATAATGCTTACCTTGGCCTAGCAATTGAGAGGATAGTTTCTAACCATTGTTGCACCTTCAAATCTGAAAAGTCTACAATGATGTGCATCATGAATTTTTTATTCTTGTAATCATGTTAAGTAAAATTCTTACAAATCTATTATGTAGTAAAATTCTTTCATATATATTGTTCTATAAGTCAACCCAAGCACATCTTTGCATATCTAACGTGTAAATTGCAAGTTTGGTCACTGGAATTACTTAAAAAGTTCATGTTTGCCACTGAAATTAATTTATTTCATACGTAGTCACTCAAATTAGTTCAGTAGTTCAAGTTTGGTCATTCTCCGTTAGTCTCTGTTAATTTTAGTAGACGTGACAGTCAACTCTGAGAGTTGACAATTAAATAAGTGACGTGGCAATTAAAAAATAACAAAATAATCTTTTAAGAATTCCACCTCATTATCACAATAAATTAAAATTAATAATAATTGCAATAAAAAATGAAAAATTAGAAAATCAATCCCAAAATTCTCCTTTCGTTTTAGTTTAGAAAAACGATGGTTGGCTGATACGGAGATGGTTCTACGGGTGAGCTGCCGGACACGGTGGAGCAACTGTGAGGATTGGGGTTTCTGGCTCTCCACAGTGAAATTTGAGACGGGAAGGGAGGGAAAGTTGTGGGTTTCCAAAAGGGAGACCAAATTGCGGTGCAAAGAAATTGGAATGCGGGTTGAAGAAGAGAGGGAGATTGGAATGAGGTCGGACGGGACATCGTCGCCTGAGACAGCCCGAGCATTCTGTCACGGACATAGACTTCCGAAGTCCGTGCGGCGTCTTGAGGTGCACTCATTCCTCAAGACCAGCCTCTCTGCATACGCATGCCAACTGGTTTCGCCCTGCCTTGGGCTCATCAGGGAGACGGCAATAGCCTCCGACCAGTTGTGCCTTCTCTTGCAACGATCCCCTTCATAGCCACATCCTGACTCGGCTAGATGCGATGCACAGGCAGACAACGCCTTATCGCTAATGTCGCCCCCTTTACCCTTCTCATGGCAAGACAACCAGATGGCAGCGTTCTTCAGACGATCAACACGGTCACGACATTTCGGGTCGTGACAATTCCGACGGAGATGTGAAGTTGTGTGTGTAGGGAGGTCCGGAAAAGTTTAACGGCACATGGAGGATAATTAGGATGTGCTTGCCACGAGCCCACCCACATCCATAGCTTCCTCAATCCAAAGCACCCTCGTTAAATAAGATGTGAGAATGAATATTGTTTTCCAATTTTTCATTTTTTGTTATTACAATTATTATTATTTTTTATTATTTTTCAATTTATTGTGATAGTCATATAATGAGCTTGAATTTTTAGAAGATTAAATTTTATTTTTTTATTTTTTTAATTGCCATCTTACTTATTTAACTGTCAACTCTCAGAGTTGACTACCACATCAGCTAAAGTTAACGGAGAGTGACCAAATTTGAACTGTTGAACTAATTTGAATGACTACGGATTGAATAAATTAATGGGTGTGCCTACAGTGACATGCATGTCACGGTGACTTGCACTTTCCGGTCGACCTCAGTTAGGATTAGGTCGACCTCATATAGAATTCGGTCGACCTCATATAGGATCCGGTCGACCTCATTTAGGATTCGGTCGACCTCATATAGGATTCGGTCGACCTCATATAGGATCCGATCGACCTAATATGTTGTTTCAGTGTAAAAACAGTTCATGGTGCCTACTTTGGATATTCATATCATACAATTGGCTAGATGGAAATTGAAGACTACTGACTTGTTTTGAAGTTGGAGTGTCCCTCTACATATTGAAGTGATTGAGAGCTCGATAGGAAGTCCAGAAGACCATTTTTGAACCTCATCAAAAGGCTATGCCAAAACTGGGAAACTGCCTAGAAATGGCTAAGTCTGGAAACGTGTTTGTGAAGCCTATTTTTGAGCTCAATTCGAGAAGCATGAATGCAAGTCGAGTCCAGGAGCCTCTACCCCCGTTAAATTAGGTATGTTTTTATACAAATTCAAGGAATTGGATGAAAGATTGGATATCTTTAAGGCTTCAAACAAAAGGGTCGAAGTTGCTACGAAGGCTGTTTTTCTGGCAGACTTCGAGCACAAACAAGCTGCCAGAAAAACAGCCTTCGTAGCAACTTCGAGCCTTTTGTTTGAAGCCTTAAAGATATTCAATCTTTCATTCAATGTCTTGCCTTTGTATAAAAAAATACGTAATTTAACGTGGTAAAGGCCCCTGGACTTGACTCGCATCCATGCTTGTAAAATTGAGCTCCAAAGTAGGCTTGACAAACACGTTGCCAGACTTGGCCATTTTCAGGCAGTTTCCCAGTTTTGGCATAGCCTTTTGGTCAGGTTCAAAAATGGTCTTCTGGACTTTCTATTGAGCTCCCAAGTACTTTAATGTGTAGAGGGACACTTCAGCTTCAAAACAAGCCTTTAATCTCCAATTTCCATCTAGCCAATTGTAAGATATGAATCTCCAAAGTAGGCACCATGAAACCGTTTGTACACTGAAACAACTGATTAGGTCGACCTGATCCTATATGAGGTCGACCGAAAATTGCATGTCACCGTGACATGCATGTCACCGTAGCAATTCAGTGACAAACGTGAACATTTTAAGTAAATTCCAATGATCAAACTTGCAATTTACCCCATACCTAACTAGGGGGAAAATCCTCCCTATCCTTCATTGCATAAAAAGGAGGTCAAAACGAGATTGATGTGTTGTAATTAACCTTTCAATTTGAATGATAATTATACCAAATTTTGTACTTCCAAAATGGCCAAGGACAAAGACGATGATGCCAACTAGTATAGAGATGAATGGTTTGAGCGGCAAATGATATGCCTAGGGCTGCAAATGATTCGAGCTGCTCGCGAGCGACTCGGTGTTTGATTCGGTATAAGCTCGTTTGGAACTAGGCTCGTTTATTAATGAGCTGAGCTTGAGTTTACCCTTTTGCAGCTCGCGGAGCTCGCGAGCTAGCTCGACTCGATGGCTTGTTGAGTTCAACTCGTGAGCTGGCTCGTTTAGAGCTCATGAGATGTCGCAACTCTCACTCTATGTGAAGTTTAACACATAGATCATGTGAGAAAATATGTCTCAATTTTATAGCATAGATTGCTTCGATACTATGAAATAACATAATTTCACTAGTTAAAATTTATTATATAAATAGTTTGATACCACAAAGTATAGAATGAGATTAGTTAATATTAAACACTTAACTATAGCTATTATTATTTTAATCTTGACATCAATCAAATGTGTAATGTATGACATAGAAAATGAATATATCAAATATAAGTCAAGATTTTATTAAACAAACTAGCTCGAACTCGCCTCGCCTCATTAATAAACGAGTCTAGCTTGAGCTCAAGTCGTTTATTAACTCGCCGAGCTCAAACTGGGGTAAAATTCCGCTAGACTCATTTACAACTCTAGATAGGTCTAATACTATAAGTTTAAATGATCAAGTTATATTAGCCAAATAAACTCAAGAACAGTGTGTTACGTTGTGTGTACATAACACTCGATACCAACAGAAGTATAGCGTACAGAACGCGATAATGACTGGCATGTCATCTTCCCCAAATAAACAAACCCCAACGATCAAAACCCAGCTGACCATGTATGTTTCCGTGACGTTAACTACCTGTTACAAAACTGTCAAGCAAAGGGAGGAAAACAAAGAAGAAACTGCATAGTTAATCTAATGAGCCTTCCTTGTTAGTCAAGTTTTGGACTAGTTACTTTGTGGATGATTTGAGATTTCAATTTATATCCGTAAGAGAGAGCATCCGACACCAAACCATCAATCGCTTCTTCGTTCCTTTCGTACAAGTAGAACCCTAAAAATGTTGTGGGAACTCCTGCAGTTATGATAATCATGTGACATGGCGATTAGCAACGTAATTAATTACTGATCAGAAGGCCAAGTATAAGAGTTGGTAGAAAAAAGAGAGAGTACCCATTACAAACAATGAGTGAAGGGAAATGGTCCCTATGAAGCCAATGATCAACAGCGACAAGACAACCTGTTCCAAAGTAAGAGCATTTTACACAAGCTAGTTAAAATAAAGTGTTCACTCGTTTGAATAACTTAAACAACCCACTAGTAAAGACTCTTACTCGTACTATACCACTTTATGTACATCACTTACTAAACATTTTACACATAATGAAAACAACTCGTAAACATTTAAGTACCTCGAGGAAAAGCAACCAGTCCTTCCCTTTGCAAAGAGATTCTAGAATGTTGATCCCGGCATTCCAGAACGAAGCTAATACATGAGCAACTTGGTAAGACTTCTTCTCAGTCCAGTAAAAATCAGACGGATGGATCTTTTCGATTTTATACCCAAATCTGTACGTATGAAGCAAATGTGTCACTAGCACACTATAATAGTCCAGTTCTCTTAATTAACCAACACCGAAAGCTTCTATGATGGTTCTCACATCCAATATTTATATTTCAGAGCACCTGAAGGCTCTTACAGACAAAACATACCGAGTCCCAAAAGCTCATACATTATTCAATCTGGCTTTATATTAGTTCCCGCTGCATTTAATCTAGATGAAGAATAGTCTCCCTTCCAAATTCACACCAAGAGATTGGAGTATAATACAAACACAAATCAAATTTTTCTGTTGGTCACTCAAAGCTGCTTGTTCAAGACTTTAAGGCAGTAAGAAGCAAATGAGTTGTGCATCCAGCGGTACCCATCCAAAGAACATCAAATCAATGGCATTCTTTCACAGGTCTCTCATCGACACTGAAACCCTCACTTTCCCATCGGGTAGATTTTCACAATTATAGCCGTACGAAAATCAACATAGGACTGAAATCCGAAAGGAAGGGATAAGGGACATACATTTTCTCAGGTAATCTGCCGTGGACGAATAGAAAAATTGCTGCCATCAAGAGAAGCTTTGAAGTCGCAGTAATAATGGTAGTATTAGATGAAATGAAACTGTAGTAAATCCCAATTAGAACTAGCAACACGATGAGTGTCTTCTTGGTATCCTTCCAAAGTAGTGTGTCAGCAACTGGAAATGATAATGGAGAAGAGAAGGAGAGTTAGGAAATTAGAGATTCAATATTGTTCTTTCATTATCTCAAATAACAATGTCTCAATCCTTAAATAGTTGTTCTCAAAAATAACTCAACAAAATAATAATAGTAAAAAAACAAAAGGGCACTGGCGGGAACCCGCCCCTTCTGTCCTAACCCGACCCGGCGCCACTAGTCGGGTTTCCATCAAATTTGTAACTGCGGTTGAAGTACATGCTAAGTATATTACATCAGGTGGTAAATGAGATCTAGATGAATTCAATCATTAGGAAGGTCCAATTAGCTCTGGATTTCATGACCCAGTCTGCACATTCGTTTCTCCCTCTTTGCACGACGTGAACGACACACTCTAACAAATATAGCAAATAATTTAACAATCATACCTTTTCCATTTCCAAGATATAATGAAGCCTTAGATTCCCCTTCTCTTTTAGGTTGATTCTCAGCATTAAGATGTGAAAATGACTCAATGGTCCTTTTCAAACCATCCTGCAATCGAAAAAGATAAACTCAACTGCACAGGTACTGCTGTATAAGTTGTTTCTTATTTATGTGCCTCCACTTGTAGCTGTTGATATATATTATTAGCTGGGAAAACAAATATACAGGGCAGTTTTAAGCTCGGTATACAAAGACTGGGTTTGCATGGAAAAACAGTTTGACGAACACTTATTTACGTTGAAGAGATATTTAACAATTTCACAGTATAAAATTAGGACATCAGGAGGTGATTCAACTTTGTAATTTGTATACTATCCAACTTTTGTGGAAGCTGTACAAGGATAATTTCCTTTATTCACAAAACAATGCATAACATCACTAAATAGAGAATTCTTTATATAAGAATTGTTTTTTTAATTAGGTGCTACTGAAGGGATTCGAACATGAGACCTCCAGGTTCAAGACTAATGACAATAACACTGGACCAAGCCCTTGTTTGCACTAAATAGGGAAATTAAATCACAGCAGAATGTTGACAAACCTCGAGTGATACAATTGGTGTATAGCCAAGAAGTTCATGAGCCTTTGCACAACTAAATGATCGGTTGCCAGAAAGAAGCCTAATTCTTGAAGGAATCAACACTGGGAGCTTCATCCCATATGTGCCGAGTAGATTATATGCCCACTGAATTGCATGAGCAACTGGCAATACAGCAATAGCAGGAACCTTGATCCTTGGCCTGCAAAGTACATCAAATCAGGTTAAAAGAAATAGAATAAAGCAGATGTTCAGAGCTAGTTCACTGTATAGTGAGCAGAATACTCATTTATGGATACCGAATGCCAGTGTTTGCAAACCATTGTGGAACAAAAGAGCGCTTTAACTGACAATGGACCCAAAGAGGTCTCGCAAATCACTATTCTCAGTCAGAAGTTGCAAACGTGTAACAAACTATCAATGAGAAGTACTTCGTTCAATTCTAAAACAATGTAGTACTAAAAAAATTAATGTACAAATATAAAGAGTACCTCTCATAACCAAGACCTGCACAAACATTTCCAGTGAACTCCCAAAACTTGATAGGCTCCATGTTGGTTATAAAATATGCCTACAAATATCAGCCAACATTTGAGAAATGACCCACAAACCACGTCCCAATCATGCAGGCATGACTTAGAAGCAAACACCAACATTACATGGGTAAAATAGGGTTATCATCTTCAGAGTTTTTCAAGAATGGGATAATCATGTATCCACCACGAGAGAAAGATAGAAACTAATCCATAATGCACATACTGCAATAACATATCAATGCTGCCAATGATGAACCCCTCAAACGAAGAAAACAGATCTTATCGCATATTTAGCATCTTCAAAGTAATAAAGGAACATAAACCGGTATGGATGACTCAACTTTCAGTATGAATGGTACTTAAGGTATAAGATTTGAAACGCTACCAAGTTCCTAACAATAACTGCTCGTTCATAATACTAATGGAGTCTGGAAATTTTCAATACGATTGACTGGCTTAGGTTTTTACCTTAAAGAAAACCATAACATAATACTACCAACAGATGTTATGATTGAATTATCATCATTCACACAGCAAATGGACAGGGTAATGCTACTTTATTTTATCCCTAACCATCTACAGCCCAACATGCTTAAGCATCGGATTTCAGCAACAAATGAAACATTAATTCAGGAAAAACTGAAAGAGAACCTTAATCATTAATTTTACTCTGTAATTTTTGTAATGAGTGAAGCAATGTCACAGGAAATCATTACAGCTACATCTGCCCTCTCTACAAAAACGAGCCCAAAAACACAACTGTACAGAACGAATTCGCATAAGACAAACCTACTCCTCATTAGACTTAAAAATATAGCTAGTTTCAGATTCTATTGCATTCAAGGTCCAACCAAACATAACCTTTGTGAGTGTAACAAAATCTTAATCGTACCTGCCCTGCAGCTTTCTCTGCAGCCTCCCCTGATGATGACAAAGTTTGTTCAGCACATATGTGAGCATGTGCCACATTCTCAACATACGTGAAGTCATAGACGTTATTGCCATCACCAATTAAGAACTGCTCACAGATATTACCAATAAAAAAATTAATAGCTAAACAGCCTCATTATAATGCTGGAAGTAACAGACATACATGTGTCGTCAAGTATGACAGAAATAGCCAGAGAAGGATTGGCACTGTGTGATGCTCTCTCTAATAACAAGCATTACCTTGGATTTGCCAGCCCTCGCCGACTCAGCAAGAGCAGGAATAAACAATTTATCTCCAGGACCAAATATGCTACTAGGACGTAAGGAGCAAGTAAGAAGCCCATTAGTACCATTTGCCTTAAGGATAGCAGCCTCCGCTTCTGCTTTAGTCGCAGAGTAGGAATCAAGAGGCTGAAACAATTACAACCACCATAAGCCATCTCCATCTAGCAGGCTTAGTTCTAAGATCAACATCCTGAAAAAGAAGTATGCAATGAAATACTACCTTGGGTGGATACGGCAATGATTCATCTCCATTGAAGATTGGATGAATCCCATCAAAAACCACACTAGCAGAGCTAGTGAAGATTAGGATCTTCACTTTAAGCTCGACGCAAGCATCAATCACGTTCTTGGTCCCTTCCACGTTGACTGAATAGTGGAGCTGGTAGTTGTTGATACCTGAATGCGGGGCCGCCATGTGGAAAACAACCTCAGCTCCTTTAAGAGCTGCAGCAAAAAGAAAACAAACAAAAAGCAGGAGTGTCAGCAATAAGAACCCCACACCGAATCGAAAGCAATAAAAGAAGATTGTAAAAAACCTTGGAGGACTTGGGGCTTGTTGCGGAGATCCATAGAGACGTAGGAAGCGCGGCCGGATTCCAATGCACGACCAAGGTCTCCATTCTCCTCCTCCGGGGAGAGGTCGATGGCGGGAGGTAGATCAGCGATCCGAACGAGGAACTTGTCTGATCGGATGAGCATATCCACCAAATGCCTGGCGGCAAAGCCCCTGCCTCCGGTCACCACGCAACATTTACCAGACATCCTTTCTTCCTGGATTTCTGATTTTTTAATGGTAAACTAGTCGAACAAGAATATCCTCCTTATGTCAAAGGTGAGCATGTACAAACCCGTATCCGGACCAAAACATAGGAACAATGACCAGAACCCAAAACCCAAAATCCACAACCCAGCAATATGAATCTTTAATAAAATTAAAGCCATAAAAAATATAGAATCATTCAAAGTCATGTAACATGAATTGAAAACTTGTTTAGATACCATTGTTACAAACTGATATCTGTTTTCAAATAGGAATCTTGCTTTAAACAAATAAACAAAATACTAGTACATCAACCAAAGATTTTAAGAAGTACAACTACGATATCAAATATCAAATATGTTAAAACATCAATGATGGTCGTTGTCGTAGTGTAACTAATTCCCGTCTCACTAATGATGGTCGTGAAAACCCTATGCTTTCTCCTCGACTGATTAAACTTGTTCTTTAACCGATCATCATTCCAAACCTTCCTAAACTTGTTTGTCAGTCCATTTTTTATGTTTGCCCAGCCTACCGTTGAGAAAGTAGTGGTAGTCCTATTTCCATTCTTCACTTCTTCCACCATCAAATCAATAAGATATAACTTGACCTCATTAGGCCATACCTCCTTTCCTTCCGCCATTACATAATCATTCTTGTTTTCGACCTCATTATTGTTCATGATAAAACTAGTTACACAAGTCATTCATATTAGATATACAACAATAAGTAATCAAACACCAACAAAGATTTGGCACAATCAATTAGAAGGGTTAGTGAAGAGAGGGACATGCATGGGTTAATTAGGGGATCACATATAGATATAGTTAATTAAAAGCTATGCTGTGATTTCAAAGGAGGGATCGCATGTTGGTGGGATAAAGGAAGAAGAAATCAAATATTGATCACCAAGTGACGAGGATATAAGGAGTAAAGAGGGATAAATCCAAAAATTACTCACCAAAGGATGATGCGGGCAGAGTGGTAGGGGAGCAAAACCCAGCAGACCAGGGATGTATAAAGTCGGCAGTAGCTTCTCAATCTCTGCAGATAAAATCATGCACAACCCAAAATTAATTTTCAGTGCAAGATAATGTGAGATAGGGAAAAAGTAACAACCAACAAAGGCTGGAAGAGGATCTGCAACTAGAACCACACTTTTCAAATCATACCCAGAACAAGAACTCACCAGAGGCAATGACGACGAGAAGAGGCGCAGGGGATAAGGCAGCGACTTGGAAGAGCTGTCGTCGACGAGAAGAGAAGTAGACGATGACGGCAATGACAAGGCGGCGAGCAGGGAGCTGAAGGGCGGGTCGACGGCGAGCAGTGGCTGAAGGGCGGGTCGACCGTGAGCAGGGGATGATGGCTGGGTCAACGGCGAGCAGGGAAAGCCGGGTCGACCGCAACGACAAGGCGAGAGTGGAAGAGATGAGAGGAGACCCCAATTCTTTCCGTTCTCAATTGGTAGTTAAAACTTAAAACCCATCAAAATCAAGTAATCAAAACTCAAAATCGCTAAACGAGATTTATCATGAACTTCGGCAGACAAACTCAAAATCCCTAGGCGATAACACTAACCTTCTTGAGTTATCTGTTATTAGTGGAGAAGACGATTCTGATGTTGTTGAATGGAGTTCTGATGCCCTTGGTTATGATGATTCCGATGTTGTTGAGAAGGGCTGAGCTGAACCGAAGAAGACGAAACCACGAAGGACGGTTGAGACTCGAGACAGGGGAGGGAGACTCGGTGGCTCCGGCGAACAGAGACGACGAAGGGCGGTTTGGCCAGGGGAGGTAGACTCGGTGGAGTTTCTCGATCTCGTCGCCAGAGGCTGGGCTGGCTGGAGCAGACGAACGACGGTCGAGCCAGGGGAGGGAGAGTCGGCGGCGTTCTCGGGCAACCAAGCTCGTTGTCTCGCTGCCGTCACCGATCGCCAGACTCCAAGATGCAGGGGTGAGCTAGAGAAGAGGAGCAGCGGCGGGTTGAGAACGGGAGAGGAGAAGAAAGCTTCTTCGATTCGTGAATCGCGTTAGGTAGGGCTGGAAGTTTGGTAACTTTGAGGGTAGTTATCATTAATGGTCACAAAACTATTCACTTTGTACAAAACGGTCACAAACCTTTAATTTTGCACACTTCAGTAACAAATGTTTGGACTAATAACAAAAAAGTAATTCCGTCTATCTCCATCCAAAATTCTGTTAGTTTTGCCCGGTCAATTGTCTCATCATCATCCACATCATCAAAATAATTAATAAAAAATAAAATAAAACCTAATTAAACCCTAACCAACCCACCATCCCAATTCGACCCAGTCCATTCTTCCCTATCTCCTCTCCCTCTCCGCCGGTTCGCCACCGTCTCCACTGCTACGAATCTCAAATTTATCGATGTGAGTAGCTACAAAGGAAACAAGCTGGACAAACAGCCACGATACATTTTCCCCTCTTTTTGTCAATACTTTGACGACTTCTCTTTCTCTTTCTCCTTTTTCTTACTCTTCTGACTCTTCTTTCATCAATTTGTGTGGCTTCTGTTACGGAGGGAAAAAAGCCACAATCCCCAATCCTTCCTCCCTCTTTCTCCTTCTGGTCAGCCAACTTTGCCGCTCCACTTCTCCGGCCGCCGATATCATCAATCCCCAGCTCCCAGTTGGCTTTGTGAGTTCTTGTTTAGATTTTGGCCAGTTCCAGTTCGATTATGGGGAACCGGAACGCGAGCTCCTCTTCTTATGGAGCAGATCGTCGGCGGGAATAACAAGCTAGGTCGGAAGATCGGCATCGGATCGTTCGGTGAAATATTTCACGGCCAGTCTTTCCCCCTCTACTGTCCAATTGAGCGGAATCCGTCCTGCCTCCATTTTTGTTTTGTTGCGGTCCGATTTGTTCTAGAGCTTATTGTTGTTTCTCTCAAGCATTTCTTGGCCAAGTTTAGCCGAAGCTTTTCATGTATAGTGATGAGTATGGAGAATGCGGAAGCTGAGAAGGCGGAGGTAGAGGAGATAGGGAAAAATGAGTTGGGTTAGATTGGATTGGGGTGGGTTGGTCAGGTTTAATTGGTTTTTTATTTTATTTTTTATTAATTATTTTGATGATGTGGATGCTGACAGAATAGCTAACTAGACCAAACTAACAAGAGGATGGAGACGGACGGAATTACCTTTTTGTTATTAGTTCAAACATTTATTATCGAAACGTGCAAAATGAAAGATTTGTGACCGTTTTGTACAAAGTGAATAGCTTTGTGACCATTTATGCTAACTACCCGTAACTTTGATATATTACCGAATACCGTACCGAATTTGTCTATATTTGGTATTACCGAATACACGTATTATTTTGTGGGATTGGGATTGCGATTGAGTTTCAATTGTTATTCGGTATTAGGGATTACGGGATTGGAATCGGTATATACCGAAATACCGATCAATACCGAAATATAAGCTAGCGTGTATTTTCTCCTCTCAACTAGACTCTCTCATTCACTACTACGCAACTCTCAACCACCAACAGTGTCATTTAATTATACATAGATCATTACATCACTATTTCACACTAGTATTAGTCGTCTCTCAACCTCAAATTCATCAAATTAAAGATTACTAATTACAAAAACTTGAGATGGTAGCTCTAGGCAACTCAAGACTCTTTGTTTAGTCTATTTGCTCTAAATTAAACAATAAAATATAATTTATATATTTAATTATTAATGACAAAGATAATTAATTTTGTATTTGATAATATCGATTGGGAAACCGAGGTACTGATTGGGATACCGAAATATTTTGGGATTGAGATTGGGATACCGAAATTATTTAGAGATTGGGATTGGGATTGATTTCAGGGTGTAATTCGGTATTCGAGATTTCGGTATTTGGTATTGGGATATCGATAACGTACTGATTTCCACCCTTAGTGTTAGGGGTTAGGGCTAGGGATGTTCAAACGGATTGGTTATCATGGTGACCATATTAACCCGTAGCATTCGGTGAATTTGGTTTGGTTGATTTGAATTAGGGTGGCCGTTCGGTTACCGATTAAACCGGTAACCGGCCGGTTATCCACTAACCGGTAACCGAAGTAACCGAACTTCGGTCGGTTATCGGAGGCTGGACAAAATGGTTTTTGGTCTTAAAAGTGGTTCGGTTAACCGATAACCGAGAAACCGAAACCTATTTTGGTCGTTTTCTGTAGAGAAGGTGGTTATTTCGGTTAACCGATAACCGGGCGATCGGTTACCGGTTATAACCGAAATAACCGAACTGCCACCTCTAATTTGAATAATTGGTTTGGTTAAACAATTTAGCTTATTTGGTTTAGGTGGTTTGGTTTGGTTTAACACTGCTAACCAATGAAACCAATTAACCAATTAATGATACACTTAACATACAAAATTATTTATACTTCTATGCAACCAATCAAACCAAACTTTCGTGATTCCCTATTTTATTTTCACCGGAATTGGGCGCGGCCCGTTGGCCGAATGAAGTTTGATAAATCGTAATAATTAAAGTTTTATGTTTTTGTTTTTCTCTTTTTTCAGGCACTTATGATTATTTTTTAAATTCATATTGTCTAAACTTACATTCTCCATGTTTACGTTAATGATAAGATTGATGGTAAATTTTAGAGAGAAAACAAGTTAATAGTGCTTATAATGTCATTTTCGATGTTTTTTTTAATTTCCGAGTGATATCAATGAGAAATAATAGTTAGGCTTACAATTCTATCCAGGACCCCTAAGAGACTCTAAAGAAGCCACCTCAAGAAATCAAAAGTTTCTAGCTCTACAAGAGACAAAAGCAGTGTTTTACGCGCCACTCTATGGGCAGCACTGTTGGCGGATCTAGGTACCACCCTAAACTCTATACAAACAGACAAAGAGCTAAGGATATGAAGACACTCTCGTAGCACCGGACCACCAATCGAGTCTTCTGAGATGCCTTGACGGACTTGGTTGACGACCACTTCGGAATCACCTTCGACTATCACATGGGTCAAGAATCTAGAGGCCACAAAGGAGATAGCATCCCTGAGCGCTAGCAGCTCAGCCAGATAAGGGTTGACTATTCCTTGAATGCTGCAACCCGATTGCCAACAACACATGCCGTCTGACCCACGGATAACAAGCCCGAACTATCACATGTCATTTTCGATGTTTCCTGACACAATTGATATCAATTTCTTCTATCACCAAATTCACTATGTTATCATATAAAAAACACTGTCTTCTTTGCCTAAGCAATAATTAAATTTGAGTTTTCTAAAAAATGAGGTTTGCCATGAAATTTTTGTTTTAAGAATTGGTCTGAGACCATTTAGAAGTTTTTCCATTTTTTCTAGATTTGGAAAACCATTTCCCTTTTTAATGTAACCAAGCCCAAACTTAAAAACAGAAGCCCAAATTGAGAAAACGTAGTTCTGGTCTCTTCGGGCAAGATACAAAGGGGGAAAAATTAAAATGATATTAAAAAATAAAAAAGTAGAATGACAGAGATAGCCCTCCTTGATCTACGCAGATGCATTTGTTTTTCTATCTAACCCCCTCTTCACCTGTAACGTTCATATAGTAGTGTAAAGATGTGCACAACAAACCAAAACATTATGGGCCAAAAATTAAATGGGCTTGTCTATTTACTAAACAAAACATTTTGAACAACTACTAGACTTTATGATTACGTACAGTACCATGACAGTCACCTTCAACTATGTATAGTTTAAGTGTTTTGTAGGAGAGTCTTAACTTCCTAATGAGTGGTATTGGTATGTATTTAATATTTATGTTAAGACTTTGTTGTAAGCTAACTATATTAGGTGCAGAGATGATCAATGATGTATTAACTCGAATGCTGATGATAATCATGGATGGTTAGTCTTATTATTATTGCTTATATATAATGATAGTTTATGATAGTAATAATATGTGGTTATTAACAAGATAATTGTTTTCATGTAATGTTATGTTATTTGGTTAATCCGATTATCTGATTAACCAAACCAATTAAACTTTGATTTGGTTAATTTGGTTTTCGTGTTAATTTGTATGGTTTGGTTAAGACATTTTATTCCATGGTTAATGAAATTTTTGATTAATTGGTTTGGTTATTACCACGGTAACCATTTGAACACCCCTAATTAGGGCTGGCTTGGCAATTGATTTTGGATGAGATTTTTGTTTGTTTTTTTTTTCGTTTAATAAACGGCGTCCTTTGAAAACAGGGCATTGCCCGTTGGAAAAAAACCGGGTGACATTCCGCTTCGTGTCGGTTGCACCGCTACAACCGGCCGACATGGTATTTCTGGCAGCAAATGCCTACCATTTCGTATCTAGCCCAGTTCGTGGGTTTTCGATTGAACCGACTGGAACGGTCCGGTTTCCTGGACCATGCTTCAACCTCCTTTTCAATATAATTGTCTGTGTGCTGACCTTCCTCCTCTAGTATGTGAAGGGTGTACCGTCAGCTGCTGAAAGGGTTTTCTGTCGAGAGTTTTCCAACGTCATCCTAACCTCCCCGAGTTGGTTAGTAATGTAGCGGTGGTTTCCTTTCCATACAGTGTCTATAGATAAGGGTGAAAATCGGTACGGTATCGGTATCCCAATACCAAATACTGAAATCTCTAATACCGAATTACACCCTAAAATCAATCCCAAGCCCAAACCCTAAATATTTTGGTATCTCAATCGGTATTTTGGTATCTCAATCGGTATTATCGAATACGAAATTAAGTACCTTTGCAATCAATAATTAAATATATAAATTAGATTTGATTGTGTAATATAGGACATAGAGACTAAGCAAATAGTCTTGAGTTTGGCTAGTGCTAGGATATGGATAAGGAGAATGAAGGAGAGGTGACATCTCAAGTTTTTGTCATTGGTAATCTTTAATTTGACGAATTGGAGGCTGAGAGAAGACTAATACTAGTGTTTGCTTTTTGGTGTTATAAAATTAACAAGAGATTGGTAGTTGAAGGTCGTGTAGTAGTGAATGAGAGAGACTAGTTGAGAGGGTAAAATACAGACTATATTA